CGGAAAGGAAACAACCTACTCTCTCTACAATCTTCAAAGGAGGAGATAGAAAGGACCCACCCTGTTACAGACCAGTCGCACTACTACCTATATTATCAAAGGTTATGGAAGGGCTATTGGACGAACAAATGAGGGAGTACATGGATAAGAATAAAATACTCCATGAAGCTCAACACGGGTTTAGGAAAGGCAGGTCGTGTGCATCTAATCTTCTCATCGCATGGGACAGTTGGACATCATGCTTGGACCGTAAAATACCAGTGCACGTAGTATTTCTCGACTTCGCAAAAGCCTTTGACACAGTGCCCCACGCACGTCTAATCGAAAAGGTTGTGGAAATGGGCTTCACTGACCCACTCGGATCTTGGCTCAGAAACTACCTTGAGAATAGAAAGTTTCGCACCAAGGTAAACAGGGTGCACGCGAGTTGGAGAGTATCCACTTCAGGAGTTTCACAGGGGACCATCCTAGGCCCACTCCTCTTCCTGATATTCATTAACGACCTGCTAAGCTTAGTTAGCTCACCGGCACTGATCTACGCAGACGATGCGAAGATCTGGAGGTCCATTAGAAGCGAAGAGGATTCGACTGAGCTTCAAAAGGACCTTACATCCATTGAGGAATGGGCAGTGAAAAACGGTTTAAAACTCAACCAACCGAAGTGCCACGTCATGCATTTCCTGCCTCATATGACGCAAACCACCTACACTCTCAATGGAAGTCCGCTCCCTAATGTCTCCTCAGAACGCGATCTTGGTTTAATAACCATAGAAAGCCCCCACTCGAGTCCGAACTATGTAGGGGATGCAGCCAAGGCAAATGCGACTCTTCACTTTATGCGAAGACAGCTTGGTGCTATAACCCCGAAATTATTTTTAACCCTCTTTAAGACGTACGCGCGCCCACACTTGGAGGTTCACAACGTCATTGCACCCCCTCTGCTTAAAAGAGACAATAATCTCTTGGATCGAGTGCAGAGACGAGCAACCAAATGGGTGATAGGGTTGAAAAATAAACCGTACGAAGATAGACTCCAGCTCTTGGGATTATTTCCACTGAGCTACAGGAGAATCAGAGGTGACCTGATTATGGCGTACACCATATTAAACACGCCAAACCATCCCAATGTGAGCATCTTACCGATGCATCACCACCACTCCCCTCGAGGCAATCCACAAAAGATTACACATCAAAGAGCAAATACTCAGGTTCGTGCACACTTTTTCTCATTGCGAGTCGTCGCAACTTGGAATGCTCTCCCAGCCGAGGTAGTTACAGCCCCCTCAGTGGACTGCTTTAAGAAGAGACTTGATAATCACGTACTCACATGCGGACTATCATCTCCCTCTTGGACAAGCTGTGCCTGATGCATATCTTGAGACCAGCTAGTTGTTACCATTGCCATCTCCTCAGATCACTTAATTAATCTAACTCGCCTATTCCTCTCCCTTGCTTACACTTCGGTCCTCTCTCACAATCTTCACTACCAATTAATAAACTAAATTCATCTATATATTACTCAGTTCTGAAATTTTACTCATATTATCATTTTAATTTACCCTTATTACCCTTATTACTCTCCACATTGCAACTAACTGATCTCCGGTTTGGTATTGTGACAGCTGCTAGTATCCAGAAACCCTACTGCCCTGAAACAAACGTTTCATTGAAATCCCGAGACATACAGACTAACAACCAACTGCCAACTGACTAGAATTAGACAGTCGAGTGGCTAGACCTCCATCCATTGGACATTACCGAACACCTGGAACCGTACCGAAAGAACAAGAATCGAGCGCGAAGAAATGAAATTGGTGTACACCAGCTCGTGAAAAAGATATTGAATATTGGATATTGGATATGTGTATTTTTCAGTCCGGATTCATCCACATATCCTAAAGCGGTCTAATTTAACAACTTAAAAAGTAAATATACTTCTCATTACGGTGATCCTTATATTTTCAAGTTGAAAAAATAAGGGTAATCATAGCAACACAAATAACTTGTATTTCATAACTGTTTCCTTATAGATGATTTTCTTTGACTCCCAACAATTATATTCAATAGATCCAATAAGCAATTGAATGTTACAGCTAAATGTTCGTAAACATTGGTCCTGGGAAAAGAACTAATTTTGTAAAAGCAAAAGGAAATTCACTGCTGCGTACCATTGTAAAATCTGTTCTCACCTTAGTGAAATAGTCAAAAATGGAGATAATTGTTTTTTTTTATATCCTATACTGATGCTACTGTTTTGTCATTTATTATTATCCTCGATGTCGATTACGTGAGTGATATTGCGTTTTTCTGCTGATCTTATAAGAAGTCAAATAATACAAATGTCAGTGAGATAAAATAAAAACCCTTCATGAGACTGTAGTGGAACGCTTCTAAGAAGAAAATACGATTTGTGAAAAATAAACATTATTGTGCTCGTTTTGTTTAACTGTACCGAAAACACTCCTTCGACTTCTTGCGCGCAACGTTCTCTTCGCGTTGCTGCCATCTTTCTCTTTTTGCTGTTACCAATGTAATACCTACTGTCTCTTTCAATAAAACCTTAGATCATGGATTTGTTTTGATTTTATAATGGCTAGATATTATAGAACATTTAGTGGTGAGCAAAGTCAATCTGGTATATTGACTCGCTCACTATAAGACTGACAATACGAGAAGCTTTAGACAGCTGATGTTAGAGCATTGTCTAAAAAGAACAATAAATTTGAAGCACAGCTGTCATTTGAGATTCCAGTTCCATTCGCCTCATTAACGTTCTTCTGTTTCCTACAATTCGTACACAGTGAACTACATATTCAACTATCCGCTCATTACTATTTTCCAGTTTCAATGTTACACGTGATCATCAGATCTGAAGGAGATTCTGTTCTGGCTCCAAACAATGAAAAATATCACGTGACAAATACAAAGCACCAATTACGATATCACCGGAAATTGTGAGTCATCTCTGAATCCTCATTGATTCACAATTAGACAGCTTGTCTCGCTATCTATCCTGTCTCTGTGTCTACAGGTTAAATGTCAAACCTCATAAAATTATGTTTTACTGCAAGCAGACATAGTTTACATCATAAACATACACGACCACATCGCATCATAAAATGAGGAAATATATTCATACTACAGCGAGTGAAAAGTGGCTGTGAACAGGAGAAACTGTGTATAATAAACTAGCAATAAACTAGGAATAATGAATCACACAACAATACTTAGTCAGTTATACGATAGATTAGCAAGGCACAAATGTACACATATATCGTAATTTAGTTACTGTATAATTATACAATAAGGTCATGCGCAACAATAATCCATAAATCAATCCTACGACTTATCATTCCTCTACTTGTCTTCCCGATTAAGTAAATTCTAATACAGCAAATGAATGAAACTACTGCATTTTTTCCATATCAAAACATTGTTTATTACAGTCTGTTCTGCAGTTATTACAGGGGATTGATTTGATTGTTGCATGAATGCAACAACGTGGATAATATGAAATAATCACGACACAATGAACAAAGTGAAAAGATTAAAACTACACACGTTCATTTCAACCTGTCTGCACATAATCAATATCGACGGATGACTGTAAAGTTAGTGAGGTGAACAAATTGTTACTTGTGCAATGTCAATGTTGCTTAGCTATAATTCCCACACGGTTATGTATAGATGGTATGGTTCAAGTGATTGGTAGATGCCAATATCTATAAAGAAAATAAAACGTTCCTAATGCTACACTCAATTGTAGCTACCTTACTACTAGAAACGTACTTTATTTATCTGTCAAGCTGAATGAGTAGTTTACACTGCTAGACTGTCTGTTGTTGTTCAGTTGATGATTGTTCCGAGTTTCTAAAGGTGCAATTAGAAGTTCATTGAAAAGTAGACTATTCATATTTCATTGGTGTAGTGTATGAGCAATAAACTACATGAAATCATGAAAGTATCAGTGAGCAGTCTAGGCGCTGTCCACATCATGCATGGACAGTACGTCATTTGTGATATTTTTGGTGATTTGTGCATGCAAACTATCGAATATATTGTCATGGAGATTTGTCTCGCAGTATTCATTCGAAGTGAACAATTTTGAAAGCTTGAGAGACGATCAGTGATCGAATATCTATCTCATATTTTTCATAGATATTCAGAGGAAACACACAGTCCCTCACATGACTAATGTTCACTGTTCGACAATGTTCGACAACGCATTTGATTCAAATGGAATTTCGAATGTCTCAGTCAGATCGAATGTAAATGACTGATGACAAATGAGTTGATTCATATTCAAAATCATCAAATCATTCACAATTAACTGTGAGTGACTGTCATATGAGAAGCAAAAGTACTTATTTTCATGACATCATCAAGAGAATATATCGGCTTGTAGGTCTATGATACTATTATTGAAGTGCAACAAAACCAATTGGCAATAACAGTAATGTTCAGTTCATCAATATAGAAGCAGAAAAAAAGTTTAAGGTGACGTTGAACCACACGGAACCCACAGTAGCATTTGCATCCATAAACTAGCGACAGAGTAAAAGGCACGAAATCTCGACACAAATAATCGTGGAAGTTTTATTAATAATGAAACTGAGGACACCAGTCAGCACAGCAATGTAATAATTTGTAAAAATTCACAAAACACTGGTTTACCTCAAATTAGATTATTTCAGCGAACCTCTTGAATCGGTGGACAAGGTGACTGATCGGTATACAGTATTCCTTCGACTTGATTCAGTGAAAGTCTGACTGCATATTTCTCTTGCTCCATTAACAACCATCCAATTTCATTCTATATTCTTGTGAAGTTCCGAGGTACATTCAATTTTTAAAAATTGGTATTATGAAAATGTTAGCATTGTTCATTCAACCAGTTAGAAACAAATCATAGACTGAGAGCTACAATTTCATTGGTCGATTCATGGAGATTAGAAAATCTCATCAATCAATTGACCTATCCCGACTATATAAACAGTTGATTTTGTGAGTAGATTACTAGTGTCGAATTACACATTGCAAGTCACATCAAATGATTAAACATTCACTCATTATCACTACTTACATTTCACTTTATCTTTTCAACTGTTATCACACACAAACAAATGCGACAAATGCTTCTACAGTGTTATCCTCGTGTGAAGCATGTCCAACTTGTAATGCAAATATGCGATGTAACTATTCACATTGGATCAGTCAATTGGGACAACCTGAGCAGCTTATTGAAAAATATATTCCAAAATCGATGAGAACTGAATCAAGTTGTTTCAATGAATGCATATCTGATCCTTCGTGTAATTTATTCACATATGAAGTTGTAAGTTGTAGATGTGTTTTATATTTTGTTTATACATGTGAAGCGCATTATTATTTGTATTCGGTTTAAACTGTTTAACAGTAAATCTACATTGCTGATGAGTTAATAAGATGACGTAAATAATACTGTTGTTACTGTTCTTCGGTGATCTGTGTGCCGTCTAGATTCCTACTTTATTCAGAGTAATGCAGTTCATTTTATTTGCAGAAGCCAAGCTTTATTCTCTCTGAATCCCAACATTTCACCGAAACATCTCAGATGTAAACTTTATGGTTGACAATCGATGAGACATAAGGAAAATCAACAGGGTTATAAGAAGTTCCGGCTAATCACGGGTTGACACACACAAATTTCCACCGGCTTTTGATGATTCAGGTGTTCGTTTTGTATTGTGACTAATTGACTCTGGGATAAAATAGAATAAAACGGTTGTCTGGTGCTGCTCACTTATTCACTCGAGACAAGAACATGTATGGAAGATTCTTTGAGTAAACACAAACGTATCATTACGATTTTGAATGCAGTCGGAAATCTACTTTTCCGTTTTCCATAATGAAGTTGCTATGTTCCCATCCGAGTGTACGTTCGACAACGTTTCAACACCACCAGCAATCATGATGCATCCAGTCAACCCATCTTTCTTCAGTTAACTTGAATAATGAAGTAATTTCAAAATGAATTCAAGCTGTAACTTAAATTTTGAATTTCCTCCTTATCACAGATGACAGCGGACAGGTGCAATCTGTATTCTGGGCCTATTGGAAACTTTACCATGAGCATCAATTCAAGCAACATCATGACAGGAAGAAGAGTGTGTTGTAGTAAGTTCAAACCATGTTTACAGTGATAATGATGAGTATTTCGAATATTAATAATTGTAGTCAGTGTAACTATTTTCATGTCATTAAGTGTACGCGTATTGTTCACTCTGTAAACTGCAACAGTGCACACCTTATAGCAATATGCAGTTATCATTGAGGAAGGCAAAGTTTAAAGATAATTTAGGTCGATGGATGTGAGCTGATTACGTAAAGTTTTTGGTCAATCGTTCATGCAACAGTTGATGGTAAGTGCGGTTTCGAGGTGAAAGAATTTCTGTAACAGAGTCTACTCGAGATCTGAGTAGGTGTGTGTATGTGTTTGTGATTGAAATACAGACTGAAAAGCTTGAATACATCTAATTGATCGGATAAAGTAAGAGTTATTTTATTGTGAGAACATATTCCAGTTCGTATTGCGATTCGTCTAATATTCACCAAATATTTGTGTTTGTAATCACTGAGTATGTTTATATTCCATGTTGAATAAATTCGTTATTAAATATCACTTAATCGAATGTTAGATATCAGAGAGTAGTTTACTGAATTTGTGATTTTAGTAACCTAGTTTGAACAATTTAGGTGAACCCAACATGTACATGTGTGACTCTTTCAAACTATTTTCTATGTGGAACGTCGTTTCAGTCAAATGACCAAGAGAATGAAGAAGGCTAATCAAGTGTACTTAAAATGTCTAACGATAATAAAAAAATCAGTTAGGCAGCTTCAATCTTCGGATATTTAAACAGCTTACAATCATTTTGACTCTATAATTATAACTCACTCATGATTTGAAATGAGACAATAGAGCTACTTTTGGATTCATCATTCTGCTGGTAATTACAATTGAAAATAACTCTCACAACGCTGAAAGAAAATGGGTCAGATCACGTTGTTTCAATGTTTTGTGAAAAGTCAAGATAAGTTCCACTTTGACAATTTGGCCTAATTTTGCACAGAGATATTTTTGTGTCTTATCTAAGATGAAATAAATATTTGTTGTTTTTCAATGAATACATCTTTCTACACATATTGATAATAAGACGTAGAATGAACCTAATAACTGCTCTGTATGCTAGTGTAGTGCTAGTGTAGATGTGTTCAACATTGATCATTTGGCTAGGTTACCTAACACTGATTTATTGGCGTCCTTTTTAAGGTGAAGTGAATATGTGTAGCATTTTTGAATGTAAAATATATTTTTGAGAAAAAATTGATATTAGGAATGAAATGATGGTTTCAATGAAAAGTTGATGGAATTATTGGTTTGTTCAGAAAAATCATTCATGCACAAACAATGAAATCATGCAATAATAAGGACTAACTAAATCACACCAGCAGTAATACAAGCAGTCGTAGCTCTATGTACAAATAATTTCCCATTCAGAAATAGAATATAAAAATAATGTGACAGGAATCCTCTGCAGCATAACTTCTAAGTATGGAGTTGATGCTCACTTTGCTACTGGAACTCTGTACTGTTCGAATCAAAGGCCATTGTGGTTTCCACTTCGATATGACATAACGTTCATTCAAAACATTTTGAGTTTTACCGAAACCTACATTCATTACACAAGTGATTGACTATCTGAACTTAACAGCTCAGTGGATGAGGTATTGATGTTTGAAAGAAACAATAAAAGTCGCAGGGTGCACATTCAGCTGACGAGTTGCCGAATTGCATTTAATACGTATTGTCATTTCCACTGATGACCAAATTTTAATTACTGTTCATAAACTTGAACGAGATTTTTATTTGTAAGGTGAACAAGAACAGTGAAATGTCTGTAAATTATCTAATCTTATGTATTGATGAATGAATTTATTAGTGGTCTTTGATGTAGAGTTTGTCTTATAAATGCGAAATAAGATAAATATTACTCATAGTTTTGTAGTATATTGTTACCTAATATGAAAATGAATGTTTATTATGACCTACTTATATTTATGTGTAAGGTTTAATAAAAACTCATGCAGTACTGAGTTGAATCCTTGGAGCTGGGGTCATTTTCAAATGCAGCAGCATCCATTTGAGACAAGTGCCGAATATAATAATGCAAACTGATCGAGGTAATATTGCAACCGGTAGTGCTAAGTTTTGATCGAACACCCCCCACCTGGAAATTTCAATACACCATCTCTTAATCCCAGCAATCGGAGTAATATATTCACTGGTTTATTCCAAAGACGAATTTGAGTAGCCATTATAAGCTTTGAGGTGACTGAGCACGTACACAGTGCCACTAGATGGACTAAAGAGGCAAAGTACTCAAACCAGGATTATCTGTTAACAAATGACTAGTTCCTGGTTGAGGATGTCCACGTTCATACATCAATAATGACCAATGTACAGTGTGGCTAAACATGGTCATAAAGCAAACACTCACCGAGAAAGATAATAAGCCCTATCTACGCTACACTAGTTGTTATAATTGCCATTTCAGATCATTCAGTTAATCAAACTCGCCTATTATCTCTATTTCAAAGTCAATTGGTTCATACTACCTCGTTGAAAAGATATTGGATATTGTGTATTTAAGTCATATGGAATGAATAACACATAGAACTGACAATAGTAGTAAACATATCAAACTGGCGTTTTGAAATGTTCCACTGTAAATAAGAATGTTAATTTGTGTGCTGTGCTTAAAGATTTAGTATATCAATGTTTTTTTAAAAAAAGTTCACTTCAAAGTACCGAACATAATCTGCATATTTCTGATGCTCATTGAATCGAAGCCGCTATTTAATGAACTGGCCTATTCTACACGCATTGAAACTACTGAGTTTGTTGTGTCAAAATGGTATACTGAACTGAGTGGATAGATAATCTACTCAGATTTCAATACGTCATACCTTAAATGATAACATTCGGATCAGCTTCATGGATTTCAAATGACAAAGCGAAATTGTTTTGAAATATGAAGTAACGTAGAATTTTCATCCGATGATACACTGAATTTGGATTTTTCTATTCTATAAAATGTCGGTCATTTTATGCCGCTATATTTATTGTATTTCAGTGATGTTCTGAATATGGCATCTGTTTAAAAGTTAATCAAACTTAGACCACTACTATTTTTATTCCAGCCAAGTATATGTTCGAAACAGAGGACTTTCTCAACTGGACCTTTTCTGGTTTTCAAAGTAGACACCTTCAAAGGAGTGAGAACTACTACATCAAACGTTAATATTATAACGATATTAGGGTTTCCCTTAAAATTATTCAGTGGATAGTTAGTCAACAAGCCAGATGATTTTACTCGCTATTTTTATGTATTCCATATTATTCTAAAAGTAATTTACGACAACCAACTACAATCCAATAATTTGAATAATTTTAGTGTTCAGAAGTAGTACCAGTTGGTCACAGAATCCTTGAAGAATGTCTCACTGTAGAATGAAATTCTTCATTAGTGCTCAGCCACGAATTCGAATGTACTCCAAACCACAATTTTCAATGTGTCAGCGAGTACCGAGTTGTAGTTATCTAGGCTGCAGACTTTGGTGACAGAATTCATCAAAATGAGCATTACTGGTCTCAAATACTATATAAAGCTATTTACGAATGCGAGGAGTATGTGAAAGTGTAGAAAACGTGATCGTGTTTTGTTAAAAATTCATGGCAGTTGGGATGAGACGTACATAATATATGTTTATTCATGGTGGAGTGTTTGTTTATTATTTGTTTGCCTAAATTCTGTCATACATCATTTTATAAAACCCACTGATTTATATCTGTGTGTCAAACTGGAACGCGAAGCTGTACGAATATATTCCTTGCTTTTGGCTCATTGTGACCATGATTTTTATTTTTCGGATTTCTATCAATTTATATTTCTTCTGAATATTTCAACTGAAAAACGATAATTCGTGATACTCCCATGTGGAACGTCGTTTCAGTCAAATGACCAAGAGAATGAAGAAGGCTAATCAAGTGTACTTGAAATGTCTAACGATAATAAAAAAATCAGTTAGGCGGTTTCAATCTCCGGAAATTTAAACAGCTAACAATCATTTTGACTCTATAATTATAACTCACTCATGATTTGAAATGAGACAATAGAGCTACTTTTGGATTCATCATTCTGCTGGTAATTACAATTGAAAATAACTCTCACAACGCTGAAAGAAAATGGGTCAGATCACGTTGTTTCAATGTTTTGTGAAAAGTCAAGATAAGTTCCACTTTGACAATTTGGCCTAATTTTGCACAGAGATATTTTTGTGTCTTATCTAAGATGAAATAAATATTTGTTGTTTTTCAATGAATACATCTTTCTACACATATTGATAATAAGACGTAGAATGAACCTAATAACTGCTCTGTATGCTAGTGTAGTGCTAGTGTAGATGTGTTCAACATTGATCATTTGGCTAGGTTACCTAACACTGATTTATTGGCGTCCTTTTTAAGGTGAAGTGAATATGTGTAGCATTTTTGAATGTAAAATATATTTTTGAGAAAAAATTGATATTAGGAATGAAATGATGGTTTCAATGAAAAGTTGATGGAATTATTGGTTTGTTCAGAAAAATCATTCATGCACAAACAATGAAATCATGCAATAATAAGGACTAACTAAATCACACCAGCAGTAATACAAGCAGTCGTAGCTCTATGTACAAATAATTTCCCATTCAGAAATAGAATATAAAAATAATGTGACAGGAATCCTCTGCAGCATAACTTCTAAGTATGGAGTTGATGCTCACTTTGCTACTGGAACTCTGTACTGTTCGAATCAAAGGCCATTGTGGTTTCCACTTCGATATGACATAACGTTCATTCAAAACATTTTGAGTTTTACCGAAACCTACATTCATTACACAAGTGATTGACTATCTGAACTTAACAGCTCAGTGGATGAGGTATTGATGTTTGAAAGAAACAATAAAAGTCGCAGGGTGCACATTCAGCTGACGAGTTGCCGAATTGCATTTAATACGTATTGTCATTTCCACTGATGACCAAATTTTAATTACTGTTCATAAACTTGAACGAGATTTTTATTTGTAAGGTGAACAAGAACAGTGAAATGTCTGTAAATTATCTAATCTTATGTATTGATGAATGAATTTATTAGTGGTCTTTGATGTAGAGTTTGTCTTATAAATGCGAAATAAGATAAATATTACTCATAGTTTTGTAGTATATTGTTACCTAATATGAAAATGAATGTTTATTATGACCTACTTATATTTATGTGTAAGGTTTAATAAAAACTCATGCAGTACTGAGTTGAATCCTTGGAGCTGGGGTCATTTTCAAATGCAGCAGCATCCATTTTGAGACAAGTGCCGAATATAATAAAGCAAACTGATCGAGGTAATATTGCAACCGGTAGTGCTAAGTTTTGATCGAACACCCCCCACCTGGAAATTTCAATACACCATCTCTTAATCCCAGCAATCGGAGTAATATATTCACTGGTTTAT